TGTTTCCGAAGAACAAGACCCACCCATATATGTGCTAACAGTGTCAGTTACTAACGACGATACAGTGGATTACCACATTACTAGTCATGTGAACGAGTTTGTGATCAACCCAACAACGGTATGTACATGTTATACACTTGTTGAACTTCCATTAAGACGGCATGGTACAGTGCATTGCGTTCCTGCTTGAATTATGCACGTTGTATGTTGAAAATGAATGTAAGTGTATTATACGTCTCATAATTTTATCAACAGGGTGATATCTTCACTGCTATAAAGTTGGACAGGGAGGAAGAAGCAAGGTATTCATTCTCTGTTGCAGCTAGAGATCCTGCTGGAGATTATTATGAAGGCTATACATTGGTAATGTATATTTGTTTCTTTAATATTTCAGTAGGACAGTTTAGCTACCTCAAAGTGTTTAATAAATGACTTTGGATTTCCTTTGAATCTGATTTTAACAGGTAAATATTTTGGTTAATAATATCAACGACAACAGTCCAATATTTGACAGACCGTATTACAGCGGTGAAGTGAATGAGGGAAATTATACTACGCGGTATGTTGCAATAGTGACTGTGATAGCAACTGATGCAGATACGGGTCACAATACTGAAATAACGTACAGCATAACAGATGGACATAATGGTATGTTGTTTTTTGGTGGTAGCTAATTTTTAATTATCACTTATTAAATTATCTTTCGTTGAGTTCATGCATTGCTTGAATTGCTGTGCTCATATTTTAGTACGCATTTGTATTAGGTGAGTTCTTCATCGATTGGAATGGAACCATATATGCTGCTGGTAATATTGACAGAGAAGAAATTGCTTTGTATACGTTAACAGTTATGGTATGTATTGTTTAAACTGTGGCATTTGTTTCAAATTGGTATTTGTAACTGTCTTACCTCAAATTCTTCATGTCTACGTTATCGACAACTACACGCGATCCTGCATTTTACCACTCTTTAACGTCATAAACATTTTTTATTGATGCACTCATTTCTCATTTCTGAAACAATTTCGCTCAATTGTATGTGCAAAAACAGATATAATATTAAACCCTGCAATGTCAGACAATTTTAGATTTATTATTACAGGCCACAGACAATGGGGAAGAACCACAGAATAGTACTGTTCCTGTAGACATCATAGTTATTGATCTCAATGACAACACGCCTACATTCACGGAAAGTCACTACAAAGGTTTTGTTGAGGAAAATGTACAGTATTACGTCAAAATCGTCGAAGTGAGTGCAACTGATGCAGATGAAGGTTCCAATGCTGATGTGTACTACACAATTTTGTGTGGGGACGACGGCGACTTTGTAATTGACAGTAAGTAACCATGCTTTTATGAAATAAATATAACACACAACTCTTGGATTGTCAAAATTGTCCTCCCTAATTGTCATACCATATACATATGGGCGCTCTGTCTGTGCTTAAAGTTGATACACAATACAATTTCTATATCATGTAAACACCATCTTGGCTGTGGTAACCGTTTGTGAAAGTATCTATGGAATTACATTAATATTACGAATATGTTATTTTTTATATGTAAATGTAAGAAGATATTGTTTTACAGCAACTATGTGTAAAATACTTCGCATGCAATCTATTGATTTTTAGAAAATAAATGACTCACTGTTATATAATTATAATTGATTGCTATTCTATCTCGCTGTTATTAATGTAACTCAAACGAAATATTAGTTTAACCCCTACTTTTACCACTATGGTAACAACCATAAAAATGAAGAGTAGTTAGTAAGCTAACTATCACCTATTAACAATTATTCATCAATCTGAAAATTTAGCAATCTATGACCATTCTTTCGCAATTCAACTCTTCCACTATTGCCATACATACATATTTGCATGAATGGCATATGCCGGTATCACCTTGTAACAATTTATGTAATTCACAGTGTATTCTGGGATCATCGCTCCTGCTGCAAATGCTGAAATTGATTATGAGATGAAATCGAACTACACATTGAGGGTTTCAGCGCAAGATGGTGGAACTCCTTCTTTAAGGAATGGTAGTAGCGTTTACATACAGGTGATCGATGTCAATGATAATGAACCTACTTTCGTTGGTGAACCATACGATGCCGAAGTACTCGGTAATGCAGATGTTAATACAACAGTGATTACTGTAGTTGCCATGGATGCTGATTCCGGAGAGAATGGCAGAATCACATATACTATGAAAGGTGTGCTGCAGTATGAATTTCCTCATAACAGACTGACATGTTATTGTACTTATATTTTCTACCTTCCTTCAGTATCATACATTTTATGGTGCTTTCCCGTTTTAGAATTATACATATCATCTATCTATCAATTCTGTCAATTTTTATTTCTGTAGTGAGCTAACTGTAGCTTCTCTTATCACTGCTTAGTCGTCTGACACCTTCGCCATTCATCATGTTTTTACAGATTACAGATTACTGTTTTCATTGATATGCCGGAGTTTTAGTAGCGTAAAAATATAAACACTGGAGTACTTACTACCAATCCAACATTCGAATGATACAACTTATTCATCTAAAAAAACGTGACCACTTGGGAAACCTATATTACCATCATTCACTTTCCATATCACACAAATATTTTTTTTTGGACGGACATTGTTGCACATCTTTAGATCACTGGAATGTATCCATGTACTCAGAACAGTTAAAACACGTTTTGGTAAAAGTTGATGCCTTTATATCGTTATGTTCAGAAACGCGAGAACGACAAGACTTGGTTTTCAAAGATCAGATCGTGGTTTCCCCCAAAAATGAATGACGGATTTAGTACAAGCAGGAAGTGCTCAATGGTTTCACTATCCTCGGGTCTAATACATCCAAATTATTTTGTGTATCATGTATGGCATAAGTTCAGTAATACTCATGACAAAAACCCTACCATTCATGTGTTCTTGCCGCTATTTTGAATTTACGTAAAAAATATGCATCAACTAGTTCCTAACTACGTGTATTTGTTTAATTGACGTAGTATTTACTGTAGACTACACTGGGAAAATTATGTCTTTTTGGTCACATTAAATTTTGTGAAAAAATGAAGTTGCTTATATTTGATGGTCATTTTGTTTTCCATCTTATTTGCATGATTTTGCTTGCAGAAAAAAAAAACAGTAATTTTGTTGGCATAGACAGACGGGTTGGATTGAGATGGCATCATTTAATCTCAATGTATGTCCAACTCACAAACCTATTGCTTTTGTTTTAATTTGGCTTAATGGTTTCAAGGCCAATTAGGTTTGGAAAGTATTGTTATTGCTTTGCTGTTAGAGGGCACATGACTACACCACTTATTATTGTCCTGTTTTCTTCTTATTATTCTTTTTTCTCGCACGAACAACTTTTTTATGTTCATCAAGTTGTTTAAGAAAGTGGCTGGAGCAAGAAGCCTTTTATGTGTGCTAATACTGACTCATGAGGATTTTTGCAAATAAATTTCAAAATGGCGACCAGCCTTCTTGTTTGACAAATATCTTGCACAATTTTTGGTATTATGCACTTGCTCAGAAGTCGATTAAAGCATCCAGTCATGGATACCTTTTTTTAAAATTGTAACTGAAGTTAGTTCTAAAGCTTTGTGAGCGCATGGGAGCTTGTTGATGCTATAGAATGCTACTTGCAATATATGGATTAGTAAAAAACTTTGCCCACCATCTTGGATTTAGCCAAAACCGGTAGCTTTTTTGAGGAACTGAATGGTTTTTGACATAAAATACACCTTATGTGAAAATTGTGCAATTATCTGTGGTTTATTGATGTGATTGATCTGAACTTGTTTAATTCGCTCTGGAGATGCACTCTTGCCTTGAAATGTCGCATGGGTAAGTCATGTGGCTTGGTGATCATTGGGTGAGGTCATCAGACATACTAGTACACACCAGCAGATCATTGCTGCTTGTAGCTATGTTTATATTTAAGGCTGTGTTGCATATCATTCATGAATTGGGTCAATTAAAAAAACATTGCATAATCTAACAGTGGGGAAATCAATACCTACGCACCTGTATGTGATCCATCAAATTGCACTGCCGGAGTAAGCGAAGATGCACCCGATGGTACCTACGTTGTCAAGGTTATTGCTACGGACAAAGATGCAGAAAATAAATCTGCATCTGAAATTGATGGGTCTGGAATTGTCTACTACGAAATTGTTCAAGGAAACGATAACGGTACGTAAGAGTAAAATTCGTAACTATTGCCAGAAATGAAAGCGTACTATACCTTACTTGAATTATATATCTGCAGTTATAATAATTAAAGCTTATCTCCTTTCTGTTACAGGCTTCTTTGAAATAGATGTAAACACTGGAGTAATACAAACCAATGGTACGATTGACTGGGAAGTGGAAGCGATTGTGTATCTGATAGTCTCAGCATATGACGGGGGAATACCATCAAACCAAGACAATGCTACTGTTGATATCACTTTATTAGATGTCAACGATTACCCACCTACTATTGATCCAGACGAAATGTTTTCGTTTGTTTACCATGTACGTATCTGCAGTTTTGTTATCATTGCGTATATGTATTATACCTGTTAATGTATGAAGTAGATCATGATAAAAGCATGTACGAAAAGTATTGTTAGTATCGCAAATATACAAACTGAAAAGTGCGAGATATCATCTTGTCAACCAAGTGTACATACAAATAGTAGTTATAAAAGTATTTTCTTTTTGACATTTAAAAACTTCCTTTGCGGTAGTTATAGAGCCATCAGTCGATTACATTGCGAAAATGGAATGTTGATTTCCAGCTCGCGCAATTTGTTTATTGGCTTCTCTGGTTTCCTTCGTTATGTTGAACTAACATATATTTGCGCGGCGAAATGATCCCCTTCTATTAAACAAAAGTTGAAATTTGTTTTTTCAACAAAGCACACAACTTTTCAAAATTGTATATTGAATGCAAGGGGCGCAAAGCGTGTAAAATACATCGAACGAGCTGCACGACAATGAATGCCACTCGATGCATTTGCTAACACGCGTCACATAGTTTTCAGCTGATGATTTATTCCATAAGTTGTCAAATCTGTGTTTTGCTAAATTACTATTGTGCTATAAAATTTTTTCCGTGTAGGATTCTCCAATAGGAACATTTGTTGTAGATGTCAATGCCACGGACCCAGACATGATTGGAAACATAACATATTCGCTGTCACCTACAAAAGAGTCTGTCCGAGTCCTGTTCGAAATCGATGAACAGTCTGGCGTTATTACAACGAACGCAATATTTACCATTGATGTGGCAGATTCAGAGTATTTGGTGAGCCTTACTATGCACAACACTCCATTGTTGATAATAATGTGACAGATTTGATAATCTGAATGTGTGGGTGTTGCGTGAGATGCTGAATAGTTCATGTTACAAACGTCGTGCTAAAAACATCGAGTTACAAAAAGATCGTGTTACAAAAATATTCACGACCGAATTGTAACTCGATGTTTAATGAACAGTTAAGGTAGCGAGACTATTATTTGTGTTGAAAATTACGATTTTCACATTTATTTATTAATTGATGAAATACACTATAAACTTGCATCTGATAAAGTCAACGTAACCTAGAATGTCATGTAAGTTGGTTAAAATGTTGATTTTCTGAAGGGAAGCAAGGCAGTTTCAGTAGTGTTTTCCAA